ACACACACACACACACACAGGTCACAGGTCACATGTGTGTTAGAGCACAGAAACATGAGTTGTCCCAGGTATCTTCTCATTAGATATATCCATATGTTCCTCCTTTATCTGCAGAAACCGGCATGGCATTTAAGTGGATTTCTGTGTGTGTGTGTGTGTGTGTGTGTGTGTGTGTGTGTGTGTGTGTGTGTGTGTGTGTGTGTGTGTGTGTGTGTGTGAAGGTGTGTTTGTCTGAGTGTCTGAGTGTCTGTGTCTGTCTGTCTCTGTGTGTCTGTGTGTGTGTGTGTGTGTGTGTGTGTGTGTGTGTGTGTGTGTGTGTGTGTGTGTGTGTGTGTGTGTGTGTGTGTGTGAAAGGTGTGTTTGTCTGAGTGCCTCTGAGTGTCTGTGTGTCTGAGTGTGTGTGTGTGTGTGTGTGTGTGTGTGTGTGTGTGTGTGTGTGTGTGTGTGTGTGTGTGTGTGTGTGTGTGTGTGTGTGTGTGTGTGTGTGTGTGTGTGTGTGAGTTGTGTGTGTGTGTGTGTGTGTGTGTGTGTGTGTGTGTGTGTGTGTGTGTGTGTGTGTGTGTGTGTGTGTGTGTGTGTGTGTGTGTGTGTGTGTGTGTGTCTGGTTTCACTTGCTGTCAATAAAAGAACCCATTTCTGTTCATCTTCAGGTGTATATAACTGTATATAACGGTGTATATTCACAGTTAGCCTTTGCAGACCATTTACATGCACTAAAAATAAATAAAACATGGTGTATTATTTAAGCTGCAGGCTGCTGACCTCTGACCTCATCACATCAACATTCTGCTGTTACTTTGATTACTCCACATAAACCTCCGATATGAACAAAAACACGGCATTCTTCCACACACACACACACACACACACACACACACACACACACACACACACACACACACACACACACACACACACACACACACACACACACACACACACACACACACACACACACACACACACTCTCTCTCTCTCTCTCTATCACACACTATGTCTCTCACACACACACACACACACACACACACACACACACACACACACACACACACACACACACACTCATCCACTCTCCCATCACCATCTCCTCCATCATCATGAGATGTCCTGCAGCGCCCCCTGCCTGCAGCCCAGCTTCATTGCAACACTTCAGGTCAGTGCTGTTATTGTTTTTTTAAAGGGACAATTCATTTTGTATTGATGTGAGGTTATTTCATTGTAGTTTTCCACTCTCCGTCTGATATCCATGCAGTTGGAGGAAGCCCTTGTTGCTCGAGGCCCTACAGCCAATAGGGGGGTCTTGAAGAGAACAAGACCTTCTCTCAAAAGCTTTATTTGCTATATGTAAAATTGCTACAGCACAGTTCGGCCCTCAACCTAGAACAATTTCAATTACGTAAAGTAGACTCTCCATTGTCCCCGAAAACCTTTTTTAGTGGATGGATTGAAGAATATCAGTGCGTAACTATCAATTTACATTAGCTAAACTAAGCCTTTTCAGATTTAATTCTGAATTAGGGTGATCTAAAAAGTGCTGAAACATCATCTGAAGTGTGTTGTATTTAAAACTTCTCATCTTGTATCTCCACCTGCCTAGGAATCAGTTGGATTCTCCCTGAACATCCTGATATTTGCTGTGTTTCCCACATCATCATCCACTCTGAACCTCTTTACACTTTCAGTTTCTCCAGGGTCTTTGCACAATAAGCTGTAATAAGAGGCCTGGTTCAGGTGTCACACATGATGCTCCTCCAATCATAATCATTTCATGTCACCACTTCAACAACACACACACACACACACACACACACACACACACACACACACACACACACACACACACACACACACACACACACACACACACATTATTTTGTTGATTTTTGGGGATTACATTGGTCTTATTTTATGTTTAAAAGATACACATTTGATTATGATTTGAATATATTTATTTTTCTATTCATAATGTTTTATTTGTGAGTGTTACGGTTGATTTATTTTTATTTTAACTCACTCTGAAAATGTCTACAAGGAATTGCAAAACTACCAAAAATAAGACACAAAACAATCAACAACAACCGCAGTCTAGATGTTTACTTTTATATCCTTAACCTTTTTTTAGACCAGGATATGGTATTATACACTATCCAGTCAATATGTAAAACCCCCCAAAACAAATCAATCAACCAATCAACCAATCAATCAATCAATCAATCAATAATCAACCAATCAATCAATCGATCGATCAATGTTTATTTATATAGCCCAATATCACAAATGTTACATTTGTCTCAGTGGGAAAAAACGAGAATAACCTTTTCAAAAAGTCATTTTAGAAGCAATCAATTGACAGAAAAGCTATTTTCTATTCATTAAAAATGTACCTTTGACAATATCAAGCGCTCCTGCACATTATTAGGAAGTCGCAGTAAATACACATTTTTAATGTTGTAACTTTGGGAATCTTTAGAGCATTGTGAGAATGCAGGACATATCGATTACACAGATAAGAACGATCCAGCCCAAGGAGGTAAAGCCCAACAGTTAAAAGTAGAGGGCAGTTATGTTGGACATCTTGTGATATTTCTGTCGTTTTCTCCACTTTTATTAGATTTAATAGGAGAAGACTGCAGCTGAGACTAAGTGTGAGAACATTGCGGTTGCGAGATTGACAGTCCTCTGACGCAGGAGTTAATAAACGTGTTCTTAACTCATTCAGATATCTGGGAGGAAGCCAGAGGAGACTACTCCCCACGCCTCATTAAAGGTGAGCTATTAAACACCTCTGGACTCACGGGGGGTGTCAGAGTGCTAACGCTGTTAAAATACCCTGTGACGCGTCAAAGACATGCATCGAGTATATGAGTAAAAGTACGAGTATAATTAACCCGATTAGAAAAGACTGTTATACTATTATACATGTTACCATTAGAATATTGTCTGTCAGGGTTGAGGTGGAGCTCATTCATCTCATGCATCCGTCAATGTTGACTTTTTTTGTATCATTAGACACTGCAAGATGAAAAGACTTGTATGCATGAATCCGCTTAGTGTTACTGCTTACTGAAGGCACAAAGAGACACAACATGACCACTAAAAGACACAAAAGTACCAAGAAGGAGATACACAACTACAAAGAGGTGCAAAATGACCCGGAAACAGATACAAAGATACAAAAAACACAACCAAGACAAGATGGAAAACAACGACAAAGACACGTAAAACTACCAAAAGGGGACAGAGTATGACTGAAAGGAGAAGCTACCAAACACAACACAATAAGAGTCTCAAACAGACTATGAAGAAATGCAAAATGTCTACAAAGATTTTATTTTTGAATCTGTAGCTCTTGTTCTTCGGAGTTCATATCTTTGCCCTCGGGGTTGTCTCTTAATCCCTCCATGATTGCACAAGCAGGTTGAATGTGTTTGCAGTGCATGTTTGGGGTAGACATGTTGCTACTTGCCAGACTCATTTATTACCAACATTTAATGTTCAAAGAGACAATAATCCAGTCTGCATTAGATTTCCCCTGAAACTGTTTGCTGTTTGCAAATGTGTCGTTTATAAAAGTGATTTCCAGTGGGACGGAATTTCATCAACAACCCAAGCCGAAAAGATAGAAGGATCAAAGAAAGGCTTGCAGATACAACTAAGAGAAATGTTAACCTGCAGTTCAGAAGCAAATACAATCATCACTGGATTAAACATAAATAAGCAATAATTAAGGTTTTTAGCCCCATCCAGAGCAACCCTGATGACCTCACTGTGACATCATCAGGGAAGTGATTCAGATGCAGCAGCATGGCCGCACCATTTTAATTAACAACACAACCTTGATTTAACCAGAGTCCCTTTACTGCCTCTTTTAATTCCATGTATATAAATACTGTTGCATTCAGGAAAAATACTCCACTATTTCAATAATAAATAGCATATGAAAGACCCTAAACACCCCATTTTTGAGGAAAATATTGCAGATAGTTCCAGAAGAAAGTGCAGCCAGAACTCAAACTGGATTTCTAGTTAAATAACACATTTATTATTAAGATTGACGCTTCAAATTCACTGTATTCCATTTTTGAATTGCATTTATATACATAATATTGCATCTAAGAAAGGAAAAGAGACATTTGTTTGCAAAAGAAATTGATATATAAATAAATTGCATATACAAAAGACCCCAAATGCCCCTTTATTGAATAAAAGGAGAACATATTGCAGATAGTCCCAGAAAACGTGGCAGAAACACGACAGGAAGTTGATCCCTGGATGAATATTCTAGAAATCCTGCAAGAATAAAACATTATTTTCCATTTAATTTTCAAAATGATTTGTATCTCCTTCTTAAGGAATGAAAACATGAATCAGCTGTGCACATGTGTGTCTGAATCAGGTATTCAAAAACCCATATGTAATTGATAGTTCCCATCATCTGCGCTCATAGGTTTTAAACTCCATGCAAAACAACCCTGATGACATCACTATGACATCATCAGGGAAGTGCCCCATACAGATATGCAGCAGCAACTGACTGCTCAAGTTAAAGTCAAACAAATCCCCATATTTATTCTATTGCATCTTTGAATTGCATGTATATATAGATAATGTTGCATTTTAGATAAAAAGGAGACATTGGTTTGCTAAATAATAAAAAATAAAACAATAAAAACAGTACAGAAAATTGCATTTAAAAGTCCCCAAACCCCCCTTTATTGAAAGATAGGAGAAAACATTGCAGATCGTTCAGAATAACCCAGATGTGCACCGCTGAAACAGGAAGTTGATCCCTGGCTGAATAATCTAGAAATACTGAAAGACGACAACATTATTTTTTATTTATTTTTCAAAAATAATCTCCTTTTTACAGAATGAAAACAGCTGTGCACATGTGAGGCTGAATCAGGTGTTAAAACGCCACAGACTTAATTTATAGTTCCCATCATCGGCACTCATAAAGCGGTATTATGAGCGGAGGAGGAGCGGGTGGGGCCTGGAGGAACACAGACTGTGGTCACTGACCGGAGTCTCTTCTGTCTTTATTCTCCTCAAGTCACACCGCATGTCTGACCCAGGGGTCCAACCTGCTGCTGGGAGAAATCTGCACTCACATCCCCGAGATCTGTCAGATGGATGCGGAGCTGACGATGAAAAGATCGCCTGATATGTTTGTTGGCATTTTCGCTCATCGCCTATTTATGGGAGGCAGCGGCGGCGGCTCGGCCCTTTCTTTATTATAAGGAAAGAGATCTCCGCGGTTATAGCTATGTGAAAAGAGCAGATCGCCGAATAATTCTCGTTTCGCGATCCCGAGGAATAATTATGAACAACGCGCAAGATATGTCGCCCGATTTCGTGTTGATGCGCCTGGTTTCCGCGGCCGAGGATGACCGCTTGGACGCGGAAAACGGGAATCTGCCGCCGGGAGGAGTGTCGGTGGCGGGGCTGGGGAAGGACGTCCTGGCTCACAGCGGAGTCAAACCGGGGTTGGATATCAGCCGAGACCCGACGGTGGGCCTTGAGCATCCCAACAAAGGCCATCCGCCGCACGGAGAGACTGCACCTGACACCGGGGGGACGGAGAGCCGAGCCCCGGCGCCTGCTCCGCCGCAGAGCCCCATGGAGGCCCAGGGCTTTGACTTCGCCCCCAGCCCCGGTTTAAGGCCTCAGCTGCTCGTCTTCTCCAATATAATGCGGAATGGAGAGGGGATTTTAGAATTAGACCGTCGGAATCAGCAAAGGGATGCTATGGGTTTGGATCAGAGCGCAGGCCCGGCGGTCAATAACAACAGCCGGAGCACCGGGGACGCGCAGCAGCAGGACCTGATGGACCGGACATGGGGAGCGCATCCGCCGGGCGAGATGCACCAGGGAGCTGCGGAGCTTTGCCGCCGGCACCGACTCATCACTACCACGCCCGAGTGGCCCTTGTTGTCGGAGAGATCCAACCCTCTCACCGTGATTGACTCTAAATGGGGGTGCGCCTCCAGGGACAGAGAGGGAGCCGTGTTCGAGCTGGCGCGACGTTTCGGGGAGCTGGGGGTCGGTGCGGTGCCCAAGATGCTGCTCAAAGCCGGGGAGCTCCCGCAATGTTCGTGTCAGGGAGCTCACAGGCCGGCCGGAGGAGGAGTGGAGCCCAGGGGCGACCCCACTGAAACCAGCGATGCTCTGCTGGTGCTGGAGGGGCTGGGGAGCGGGGATGTCGGCCTTGACATGGACGAGTGCACGGAGGGGGATCCGGACGATGAGATCGGACGCAGAGAGTTTCTACTGAACAGGAAGAGGGAAATAGTTCAGAAAATGTCGGGGTCTTTCTCCCTCAGCAGCTTCCAGGCGGAGTTGAGGCGGCAGGTGGAGGGGAGCGAGGCGGCGGCTGCACACCTGCACGGCTCTCAGGTGTGCAGCCTCCACGGGGGGTTAGCCAGGAGGATCTCGCAGGTAAGCTCCGGGGACTCAGAGGTGGCAGCCCAGGTTACAGCCACAACACCGTTATCTACACCCACACCGGTCCAGAACTCACCTTGGGGCACAAGTCCAAACCTGAGCCAGGTGTCCACCCCCAGGAGGAGGCCGGAGAGGTGTGCCAGCGCGCCCAGGACTCCCACCTCAGGCTGGGGCTCCGGGGGGGAAAAGATGCTCAAAGTGCCAGGGAAGTCCAAAAAGGGCTCGTTAAAGATCCGCCTGAGTAAACTGTTCCGGACTAAAAGCTGCAGCGGCTCCAATCACCTGCTGGACAAAAGGCCCTCAGTGACCTACTCAGTATCCTCTGCTGGGAGTCTGGTGGACATGGCGAGCAGCCCTGGAGCTGAGCCGGACAGGTGAGCAGACTAACCCTTAGTCCTACAGTATAATATGTTTCTATACTGTCAGTGAGAAGAACATCAGACCCAGCATGCATGGGTGACACACAAGGCTTTCCAGGGGAGAAAGCGGGCCGAAAATCTGCATTTTTGGAGCTAGCAGCCAGAAATATGCACAATACTTTTACTTCAAAGTGTCCCTTAGCTTGGTTTAGGTTTTTGAATGGGAGAAGGCATACTGTAGGTCAGGAAGATACATGCATGAGAAAGTGCTGCAGAAACCTGACAGACAGGCTGTACAAATTCTGCTGGGAGTCTGGTGGACAAGTGAGCAGACATGACCCTCAAGATTAGTCCTACAGTATAATATGGTGATGTGTCTACTGGCAGCTCAGAAGGAGATCAGACTCAGCATGCATGGAGGACACACAAGGCATCAGGGGAGAGTAAGTTAGGTTTTTGAATGGGAAAAAGTCCCTAAATGGGAATCAATAAAGTTAAAGGAAGATATACTGTATAGGTCAGGAAGACATGACCCTCAAGATTAGTCCTACAATATAATATAGTTATTTATCAGTGAGAAGAAGACCCATCATGCATGGAGGACACAAGTCATTCCAGGGGAGAAATCAGGGCTGAAAAGAACATTTTTGCAGCTAGAAACCAGAAATATGTGCAATATCTCTGCTCCAAAGTGTCCCTTAGCAACTCTGCTTGGGAACAAATCCCTAAATGGGAAACAATAAAGTGTTTTCCAAGACATACTGTATGCCAGGAGGAAGTTATATCCTGCTAAAAACAGACAGATCTGCAGAAAAAGCATGCAATATTTAAGAAAAGGAAAAACATTATGAACCAGGAGTTATCCACAGCGACATGTTGATCTCTTTCCAAACTCTGGGGCACTCATGACTTTCTAATGGCTTGCATTAACTACCTTTAACTATCTGTCTTCTCTCAGAGACCCTACAACTTCTTTTTGGTAAAGTGCTGCATGTTATTAGAATCAGAGATTTCCCCCAACCTTTGTGGCTTGTCACCCTCTGTCCTCTTCACTGCTTAGTCAGTATTCACAGCTGCACACTGAAAGAAGGCTATGATTAAAAAAATATAGCTTCAGAAGTCCTGACTGCCAGAGCTGAGAGCATCAAACAGAAAAAGTTAAAAAAAAAGCTGCAGGACCCAGAATTGCACGCATACTGTAAAAACTCATTTTCTGATCCTTTGCTGCAACTGACACTTCTTCTTCTTCTTCTTCTTCTTCTTCTTCTTCTTTTCTGCACTAACTCTTATTCTTCTTCTGCATGTTTTGATGTGTGTCCTGCAGCCACAGCCAGCCCAGACTGACCCGGGCCCACAGTGCCTTCTCCCCCGCCTCCCTCTCTGCCTCCCTCTCTGCTTTCACCGGTAAGGGCTGCTTCGGTTGTTACTCTACCCTCAAACACGCTTTCAAACCTGGGATGAAACTCTCCAGACACAGGGCACTCCAAACCCCCTCAAACCCCGAGTGATGCTTACTGTAAAAGAACAAGAAACAGAATTGCTGTCGATGTAAACTTCACTATTCTAAGTTAATATGACATTTTCTTACTTTTAAATTCATTTCACTTATCCATTTTAATCAACTTAATAGGCTATTTTGCAGATTAAGTAAGCACCACTTAGTATCCATTTACCTATATATTTGTTCATTAGTGCATGCTTCTGTAGTCAAGATATTTAAGCTTTGAAAACATCGACTTAAATATCTTATTTGTTCTAGTTACGGTAACTTATTTGGGTTGACAGTGCTAATAGGCCAAGTAACACATACAAGGATGTTGATATGTTTGCATTGCTGTTAATGTACTAACACAGAAATAGGCATGTGTTGCTATGTTGGTTAACGCATACGAGAACATTGGCGTTGGTGTAATGGATGCATGACAGTAACATGGTAAGAGAAAAGTAAAAATAAGCATTGCAAAAATCAAGAAACATAAATAAAAAACACTTATAGTTAAAGGGTGACGCCGGACACAGAGCTCCACCCCAAAGTCTCTGCAAAACAAAAACAACATAACCATCGTTTAGCCTTGCTCTCACACGGAAATAGTCAGTCATTGAACACATGTGATAAAATGTGCTGTGGTGTATTGATGCATGACAGTGACATGCTAAGAGAACGTACAAATAAGCATAGCAACAACTTAAATAAATACATAAGTGAAAGGTCTGCAGACACTTTCACTGTTGATTCATCAGAGTTAGAAAACCTTTGATTGTAAAGTACACATGCAAGGAATTTGACTTTCTTTTCTTTCATTGCTCTCAAACGTTCACAGAAGAGACATGTATTGTTAACACACAAATGGAAAACAGCTAGCATTGCAGAAAAAAAGGACACAAAAACAAACAAACCCCTAGAAAAGCTGCTTATATTCCAAAGAGAGTGGTGTGCAAAACTTTCCTTTTGTGTTGCCAGACTTTGGCTGGAGCATCCTCCTTTATAAGAAACTCAGGTACATTTGGTCTTTCACTGGCAGTCGTCTATTGCTAAGATTTGAATATATAAGATTTGTTTGTCCTCTTCACAAAGACGGGGACGAACACAGCAAAGCCAACATGCCCTTTAATACAGGATTCATGAGAAATCGTTGAATTAGGAGTAACTTAATCCATACCGTCGTAATATTTTACGTTGATCGGTAATTACAGATGAAGGTTTTAAAGCTGAGATCAATATGTTTGGACTTTAGTACAGCGACGGTAATTCAGCTCTTGTGATGTGTCTTTATTGTTGCTTGTCTGCAAAATGTCACACACTGAATACACACACTAGGTCACACAAAAGGTCAAATGACACACACTGAATACACACACACAAAAGGTCAAATGACACACACTGAAACATCTGAGTCTTACCTGGAGTTACATGAGAACATTGAGTTTTAGAAATGCGTAGCATAAAAAGAGACTGGAAGAAGCAGAACCTGCTAGCTTAACGTTATCAAAGGTGTCTTTATATGCTTTGAATTTGCACATTTAACTGTTTAAGAAATATAAAAATTAGACCTTATGATAAACAATTTATCGTATGAACTGACCAATAACAGCGAGGCACAGTTTGCTAATTAATCAGGACCTTTTTGAAACTGTTTTAGTCTTTAATTTCACATTTTTGCAGCTAGAAACCAGAAATATGTGCATTATCTCTGCTTCAAAGTGTCCCTGAGCAACTCTGTTCTGGAACAAGTCTCTAAATGGGAAACAATAAAGTAAAATTAAGTGTTCTCCAAGATACATTGTAGGCCAGGAACTTTGCCAGACTCACTGGAAAAAATACTGCTTCAAAAACAAGTTCAACAATATTGAAAACAAGCCGTTTTCACTTTAAATAAGTAAAAAAATCGGCCAATAGAAAAAGTGAAAGTTTGCTTGGTCAGATTTCTTGAAATAAGACAGGATATAGATAAATCAGATCTTGTAATTAGCTGGAGAACTCATTTTGAACTATATTTGACCAGAATCAGGAGATGTGTTCTGTTTTCTGATGTTCGTTGGTGATTTTCTAATAAATATGTAAGTTGTTTCATCTGAGATACAACTCAAAATAAGATGTTTTGACTTAACAAGATGATGCATTGTCTAAAAACAAGACCTGATATCTCACTGCAGCGTTACTCCTGAAGTTATTATGTCTTATATTTGGTGTGAAGACATATTCTGACTAGATATTAGACACATATACTGGGCAAGATTTAGAGTTTTTGTAGTGCATTGGTGGGTGCATCCTCCTCAGGTACATGTTGC